TCTCTTTCATCAGGCGAATCATGTGTGTATTGTGCTTATTCTAAGTTTAGTTTATACGGTAGGAGCAGCCTCATAGATAGTCTAAGCAGCCTCCTTGATAGGAGCAAAGGTCCCAGTATCACGGACATAAATCACTAACCTAGCATCGAACACATGACTACCATATTAGCAGTATTCATCTAACAGTGGTTCACAACCAGGGGTCCATGGACCCTTTTTGGGTACGCGGAATATAATTGGGGGTCCGCCAAATCAAAGGTGTCCGCAGGGTGTCCGCGATAAATGTGGGGTTTCGCAAAAATGTTGGCGGTCCGCTAGATTATTAGAACAACTTTTTCATGATTCCATTATTTTTTCTTGTCTTAGTGTGATCGTGCCTTGACAATAATCAAACACCTTTGACAGGCATGACTTCGTTCACTATAAATTGCTTTAATTGACATTATATTTTAATTCCAATATTTTATTGTTGATCTGATAGAATTTTTTAAATTAATTTTGTTTGTATTCTCTGTGAGATGTTTAGTTAAGAGAGCCACTTGATATAGGCAATCCTCAGGTAATCTTGTTTCCATGTTTTCTCTTGTATTGCTTTTACATACTGATTAAAAAAATCAGGAGGAGCCCTAATTTTGACAAACTTAAAAGAAATGGGAGATAACAGAATATTACATTCACATTTTAAGTCTAACAGTGCCATTTCAGACCACCTACAGTACAAGTGTCATAAACATAAAAATGTCCTACCTCAGCCCAACCAGGGTGGCGCTGAGATACAGTAGCGTAAATCCCCTATTCTGTAAAATTTACAGTCTAAACCCCCCTCCTCATGTCTATGTCGATTTCCAAGATCCAAAATGTCGTAATAATCTACATCCATAATCTTAATGGCGGAATATCAACCATGAGTCACCCTAAATTTTACACATTAAAAATTAAATGGGGGATGGAGAAAAAAATTACCTTACTTTTGAGTCTGACATTGCCATTTCAGGCCATCTAGAAGTGACATACTGCAGACAAAAAATGTTGTACCTCAGCCCTAACCATGGTGGGGCTGAGGTGTTTTCTATTTCGAATTCCAGGATTCGCACTGTTTGATGATAAACTTGCGAATCATCTTCTATCTGTAGGCCTAATCTTATTGTTGGGATATGGACAATGAGTAGGTCTATGTACATGGGGGGGGGGGTCTGTAAAGAGTTTGGCATGTCCAGAGGGGTTCGCGAACGCAAAAAGTTTGGGAACCACTGATCTGAATCACCTGATGATCATCTAATGATATCATGATGAAATGAGTTGAGGAGAACGATGATCAGTAGGCCTATGAGGAGGAGGAGAGGATGGTGACGATGCATGATGATAGTACGCCAATATGTAGCAGCATAATCAGACCATTGACAAGCAAATTGAATAAGTAACTGAGGGCCTACAGTATCGCTTTATATTTCCTGGGTGGAGACAAGGCAGATACAGTAACTCAAGCAAACTGTCATACTCGAACCCAGATCACATCAATTGAAAGTCCTCCCACCCAAGCTTTGCCACTTCTTCGTTTGCCTTTTCACTTGAGAACATTTCTCCAGCATACTGTACAGTCATTTTGAATCGTTTGCAGGTCAGGAGCGCTTCGTGATATCCCCCCTGCCACAGGAAAAATATTTATTATATGGCTGTTGTAGGCGCATAACCGAAGGTTGTCTTCATCATGGAGGGATGATGAAGCCCCAGCCCTATTCTTTACACCATTGTCTGTTGTAGCAATGGAATAGGCCTATATAGGTTTTGAATATTAAAGTTTGATGATGCATACTTGAAAGATACCGTATACTACTACTGTATACCGTATACTATACCATCCAGGAATTCAAAACTGCAATTTAACTGTGCTCATTAAAAAAGTAATCAAATCAATGCCGTAGCCAGGATTTTCAAACAGTGTGGGACAATATCAGGGTGGACCCACGCGTAAATTCAAATAATGTGGACACATTTTCCTCCCATTTTACGCAAAAACATGAATATGACCCATTTTCTTAAAAACTGACCCATTTACACAAAATATCAAAAATCTGGACCCATTTTCTTAAAAATCAACCCATTTTACAAAAAAATATGAGAAATTTTGACCCATTTTTAAAATGTAGAACCATTCTTAAAGTGGACCCAATAGAAAAAGTGTGGGACTGTCCCAACTGTCCCAATAACTGGCTACGGCATTGAATCAAATATAACCTTTCATAAGCAACAGAACGAATAACGATTCAGGGAATCATTGTAAGATACAGTATTCGAAAACAATTAAAATTATATTACATAACATCCGTTAATTGGTGAGGATGATCATTTCTTATTCTAATACCAGTTTATGAGGACTGTTAAATAAAGTACCTTCTTAAATTTTCAAGTAAGATTTTTTTAATTATCTATCTCATGCTCCGTTGGGATACTGTTACATGCTCTGCTTATCCATGGAAGCAATTGGATAGTGTACATGACCTTAAACAGTTCCATTTCCTTTCATGTATATTTGGCATTTGTAGGCAAATCAAAATTATATAAAAATATAGGCCAGAATTATATCAGCCACGAAGATTGCATTAAACGCACAATAGATATAATATTTAATATTGAAAAAAAAATTAATAATACAAGAAATTTAAAGGTCCAATCGAAAAATAAAAATAAGAAAAGACGCAATGAAATTATTCTGCAGTTCATACTGGACAATTTATGTTGAATATCGAATCTTAAATTTTAAGATTGTATTTTTGTACATTTGTCAATAACAGTATAGGCCTAATACTAATAACTGATTTTAGTATTATTTTCGTAATGAACAGGATATACAGGAAGACTACAATTAAACACCTAATCAACCTTAATCAAATAAAGACTCGTAATCTATTTTGTTGTGGGTGGCAAGGTTTGTGAAGGTGTTTTAAGAAACTAATGGGGTAACCTTTGTACATCAATTTTCTAGGACCATTGCTTATAGAAATTCACCTGTAAATCTATTTCCTCGTGTGTGGACCAAACTCCCTGCTGATGTGAGGAACTCAATAGTACTAAAATCTCTTACCAACTCTCTCATGGACATTCATAACTATTTTTCTGACAAAGATTTCTAAATTCTTCTTTTTACTGACTTTATATATTTATTAATTATTGTATCTACATTGTTGAAATTTATTTAATTAGTATACCATTAAGTTTATATGAACCTTTTTTCCCTTTTTTTTTCTTCATTAATACTAAACTTATCTGTACTAAGATAATTTCGGTAATTTTCTCCTTATATAAATTATATATCAGTTATTACATACTAAGTAAGAGCAATTTTGCTTAAGACCATAATTTTTGTTGTACTGCACATTTTGTAAATGTGTATTGGTCGAATAAATAAATGAAATGAATGAAATGATATTGTAGCTTATAGTAGGCCTACTTATAGGACTTATGCACGAACATTGATTAAAAACGTACAAAGGTGTGGATTTGCTAGGCCTATTCTAATTATAGAAAAAAAGTTGATCACAAGTTGGAGGGAAAGGTTAAAATATTGGCTACAGTCAAATTACATTTTGTTTCGGGGATAAATCGTTAAATAGCTTTCTTTTTACGATCATCCCTGTTCATTCACTAAAACCGCAGCGTGAAGTATTTCATACCCTCCCACACAGTCAACTGCGCATGCGTTCATAACTTTTATTGGCATCCAGGTAGAACTCCTGTAGAACTATGGACAGCCCACACCGTTAAGCCTGCCACGCTCGAATGAACACATAGTGCCATCTTCATTGTGAGAACTGGGACGAAATAAATTAAAGGGTCGCTCTGGTTTCATTAAGATAATTAACACCCGGTGGTGGATGCTTCCTATTTAATCAAAGACATAGGCCTATTAAAAATTGCTACCGCCCGAACAAGGTACATAGGTCTTGTAAAACGGTTGTTACATAAAATACTTTGATCTCCGACATGAGCCACCAAAACATTGACCATCGGTTTATTCATAAACCCTCCCTCTCCTATGGTTGACATATCTTATGCTAATATATTGCTAGAATTGCTATCTTATGCTAATATATTGCTAGAATTTGGTTCTGTTTGTGGAGCATCGGTAAGAATTTAAACTTTGAAACCATGGAGAATTTTATACCTCCATGTTTAAACCATGTTTAAATTAAACCAACCGAATAGTGATTTATCTTGTGTTCTTGAGCAACAAAATATGTTTTCTTTCTCTGCCCAAGGTTTCATTTACCTTCCCTTACTTTACCGTACAGGGTGGAAAATTGATGAGACCTACACTACATGTATCATAACATTTGGAACGATTGAACCAACGGCCACTTACCACTAAATCAAAAGAACTAGTTACACATATAATTCCAATTAAATTTTACTGGTTATTAAATTTTACGAGAAAAAAAATTAAATATTTTAAATTTTATTTATTTCATTATTTCAAATCCATGAATTTCAAACTCAGTCATTCATTGATCCGGAATTAGAAGCTAAGTACCCAATAAACAGCAATACACAAGTAATACACCATTGAGATAATCATCTAGATCATAAACAACTTGACAGATGATGTTTTTTCTGTTTTCTTTAAAGATTGTTTAGGCATTTCCACCATCTAAACATTTATCTGAATGTTGTATATTAGTAGTTTATAGAGTAAACGTCACTCGTTCAATGGCAGATAGCGCCAGACAACTTCTGTAGCCGGAAGAGAATTTTAATTAATCATGGAGGAATAAGTTTTATGAAGAGCTATAATATAACCACATACAATACTATTATTACAGTAACACCCCTATTTAATTGACACTCCTATTAAAGTGTCCCCTTGGACTTGGTGTTTCCCGAGGAGCTGAGCGTAGCGTAACAAGATGATTCTTTTTTTTTTCTGGCCGTAGCAAGTGGATGTATTTAAGTGTCTTAAATAAGAGGTTCTACTGTTAAAACATACAAAAAGTTTTAAAACATACCTTCATACTGGAACTATTCCTCTCGAAAAATTTCATTTCAATAATAAATCCAAGAAACTAATTTCAATCAATGATTATATTTGTATAAATTATTAGTCCTTTCCGGAAATAATTTCCATCTCAAAAACTGTAGATACAAAGATAAACAGTACTAGAGATGCTAAACTATCTCCCAAACTAACTATTCCCTACACGGGATAGAGACTCAGTTCTGATTCGTCGTTAATGAACCCGTGAGTTCGATTGAGTGCTGAACAACGGGAGATTTAGTCTGCTTAAACCACTAAAACTTTGGTGTGACGTGATTGTCATGCGCATTAGTTGGCTATTGAAGGACCGTGGACGGATATAATAACTTACACTCATTAATTGCAAAACCCCTCACTTGTTGGTGATTTATATTTATACTACACTTTTTCCAATATCTAATATGATAGTACTGTATATATCAATTATCAGTTGTTAAAATTACTTTTCAGCTGTATTTCAACACTCCATTCAAAAAAATTATCGCAAATGTCAGAGATCAAGCCTGTACTTGTTGGAATACCTAGTATAATGACAATGGAATATCCATAGTTCTTATAATTTTCAAGCAAAATGGGTATTGAATAAATTTATCATAGATTCAATCAACTACTAACAAATAGGCCTAGGTTTTTTAAATAATAATACTGGGGTTATAACTTAACAACAGATATAATGAAAATAGTTGGAATTATGTTGAGCTCACTCAAGTGTTGTAATATCCCATTGTACTAAGCATTGTTCCATTTTATAAATCGTGGGAATCTTTTAAAGAATAAACGGCGAGGGTTCAGATGGACAGACCTATCGTTCGTTAAAATGTAACGAATTGTATATTTTACGTAGATGGGCAAATCTAGATTCATGCCACGTTCGTAGACGCCTGTACGTGCGCATGTGTGAACTTTATTCACGCGTATGAACGTGAATAGACCTTTCCAGAGTGTCAATCAAACAACTGACAACTGACCAATTAGAACAGCGCTAGAAATGCACGCGCGTCTTACAAACACACGTGTTGTCCCACAAACGCACGTGTTCGCGTATGTTTTAACACTGCCGTCTTGTGGGACCTTAGCAACAATATCCAAGGGGCGGAGCTTAGAGGAAAGGTCCATTGCCTATTGGTCCACATAGCCTACGCCTTCAGACGTATTTTACGCTACCAACAGTTGTTTCGTTCAATTTCGTTTATTTATTAGTCCAAAATACAACCAAAAAAAAATGGTCGGGGGAAGCTTAAACAAATCAATCACTATAACTCTTCAAGTCAGCTGCCCCCTAAAAATACATTTTAATAAATATATACTAAATTTTCAAATACAATCACAAATGACAGTTAAAAAATCAATAAAGTATCAAAGTACATAATAAATTGCTCTAGTATTTGTTTATAATCGATTTTGAAATGCAATTTGTGTAGTCTATGTCATGCATTCTCGTCTATAGGCTATTGACAACACTAATTTCAAAGAATTTCATCTGGATAAGTATAGTAGGAAAATAAGTTCAACAAACAGTTATTTTTCTACAATAGCACTACCATGCACTACACTACTACTACAACCACCACCACCACCACCTGTATTTCTAAATATACCGTAAAACATTTACCATGGAGGTATAAATCTATTTTTATACCTCCATGCACAGATAGATGGTCTAAACCACTTATAGATGACCGGAAATGGCAATCTCAGACAAATTTCAATATACAGTAATTTTCTTCTTTCACAATTTTTCTTATAATTTTGAAAAAAAAAAAAAACTATGGGGAAGGGGTTTGTTGCCCTTCCCCAGACCTTGAATCCGCCACTGGAGACAATTGATAAAGACATAGAATTACGCAAACATTCTGTGGCGGGAGATAGGTTAGTTTTCCGGGAAATGTTTTGCTTGTTCGCGAATCGCGTGGGTACAGAAGAACGTTTTGATTTAAGGGGGATTCCCGCCACAGTGTCACAGATAAAAAACTATGAAAAAAGTAGCTGTGATTGACAGTTTCATATAACAGCTTAAAGTTTTATGATTGACAGTTTCGAAGAAAAAAATGTTGCTTGAAAAAGGGGGGAGATTGTCAAAAAAACAAAACAAAACAAAACAAAACAAAAGAGAGAGGATGAGGCTCCCGGAGGCCCTTTTTTATTCGACCACAACGGTATTCATTGTTTTAAATATTTGTGCCCTATGGAAAAGGTAAACTAATTCACAGTAATATATCGGCCTATTACAGTATGTCTACGACCTTTTGTTGTATGTAGGGCTTTTGCTGTATGAGTAAGATTCACACAGCTGTCCTACCATCTCACCTGGACGAATATGGAGGATGGAACTGAGATTGCATTTTTAATACTCCGTCACTTATTGGTGACCTACTGCTAACGGAGAAATTTTTTACATTAAATGCATGGAATACGGTTTTTAAAAGTTAGTAAAGGCAGACCATATGGTTAAGATAACGTTTTAATGGTCACATCTGCCTTTCATAAAATACGGCTATAAATGTAAAGATGAAAAACTCACGGGAAATGCGCTCGCTCGCTTTTGTCGTAAAGCCTACGTGTGCGCATTTAGATACTGACACCTGGTAACCGACGCGTGTGTGCAGGTCAACACGAACACATTATCTAAAAAAATTAATTGTTTGCTAACTTGTTGAAAATAATGCGTTTGATCCCTGAAATGTTCCGCGAAATTCTGACCCATGTCACACACCAAGCAATCAATTAATCAATCAAGCTTCTACTTTAGACGTTTGATTTTATCGCAACGTACCGTAACGGCAAAAATGCAAAATAAAGTGGGACCACCTAAGTTATTGTGAAACATAATTAGATAATCTCTACCTTATTTCATATTAAGTCCAAGAGAAGGCCTACCTTGCAAAATGAATATTTTCTTTTTATCGTGCGTACATCAAATCTATTGAATATTACGTGGATTTATTTTAATTCACAGAGGTTTTCCTCCCTAATTTAAATGTCTAAAGCTTATTGTAACATTGGAGGTGGGGACCATGGGACACTTGGCAGGGTAACATGCCATGTGTTAACTCTATTGGTTTGTGGCCGATATTTCGGTAGGGAATAAAGAAGACACAATTGGTGTAATGGTACAGGGAAGTCACATCGACGACACAATTGAATCGAATATATAAATAGACTCATATAATATGAGACATACATATGCTTCTTTTCTTTAGGATTTAGCATTAAATCGCTTCGACGCTGCTTCCCGCAGATGAGTCCTTAACTGGATGAAACGAAGTATCTAGGCCAGCTAAGACAGTCAAATGATATTTTTACTTTAAGTTTAATTTTAACTTAACTACTCTGTTTTAAAGTACACATAGGGCCTAAAGCAACACTTATTCGAATGTCTTAACAAAAATAGAATGGTTCATGACACATTATATGTGTCAATCATTTAACTTAAACGTGGGCCCATGTGAGATTTTTGGAAGCAATAAAGGCGTAAAACCTTAGATTTTTTTCTACCCCAACCTTGTAAATTGTTTAACTGCTAAAACACTGAAACAATTAGCAAAACATAAGGGTATTTATGCTAGACCTATAAGAAATAAAGACGGAAAAGCACTAGACTGGTCCCTCTCACATCCATGAACCGCATCATCATACCCACATGTCTCTTTGTGTATAGATTCCTTTAGAAACCATTGCCTTGGACAGAAAGTTATTGACACAAAATGTTTTTCCACACAAAACGTGACCAATTACAAACCTGTTATCTTCCCTACTTTGTTATATTAAGAACCACAACGTCTTCCTTATTCACAGAAAACATGGCTGCTCACATCCTTTAATTTATTTTTATTATTTTTTTTAATATTTATAAAAGCGCCGTTTTCAAATCACGTAGGCAAGGCTGGTTCATAGGAAATTGGGGTAAGCTGAGCCAGCAGGTAAGTTAAGGGCCCTTCACGATTACAGTATTTGCATGTAAGTATTTAAAGCACCTATACTATTAGCACTGGTTAAGACCTTAACTGTATCTCCACTTAGGCCAAATACCCATTTGCTCTGGCTAAGTAATTTACCATTCACAATTTACAACAGTTTAGAATGGTGATTCTATAGACTGGTTAGTTAAACGAAATACAGTACACTTTTTTTAAAAATAAGAACACATTTTATAAGAACACTAGTTGAGGCTGAAATTGCTTAAAAATTGGAACAAAATAAGAACAAAAATTGAGGCTGAGATAAAATGTCAAATGAGATTTTTATTTTTTTTTAAATAGAAAAAACCAACAAATGTTATCTGTACATTAATGTGTAGTACCAGTAGGTGTGACTAAGTATACACTCTATAATACAGTACAGTAATATACGAACCCTGTACAATAATAATTTTCTAAGTTTAAAAAGTGTGTAAAACTAAGAACAAAATAAGAACATTTTGAGCCTGAAATCGGCCAAAAAATAAGAACACTGAGCCTGGGCAAAATTTTACTGGTTCTTATGAAAAAAGAAGTATAATGGCACCGAATAAGGATAGGGACGCAAGGATCAACATGGGGAATGCAATGAATGATTGACAAAAATAGCGCACCAATTAAGGATAACACCATTAACAAAATGGAAAACAGTTATTGATGGCCTACTACTCTAGTTGGGCATCTATTTTATAAACTCTATTACGCGTGCAGATATCTCAGTGTAAACACAACCCGTGACTCATAAACCTTGAATTGAGATTTCTTAATATTAATAATCGGGATGGGGAGTGGGACCAGCCAACTGGTTGCTGGGGTGATTGATGAAGGGAACTATTATAATATTAATATCGCGGTTAAATTTAGCACTTTTAAGAATTTCGTCTTGAACAGAATTGGGGAGTAGGATATCACTTGCATTTCACATGGTTCTGGGACATTTTCCAGTCGGAAACCCACTTGATGTAAGTTTACCTAACTTGACGGAGAAGTGGCGAATCAGAGTCAATCATGATGAATGAGAATAAAAAAACCAGTTACTGTTGCTTGCGATAACGTTTATAGACCGATATCATCGACTGTATCTCTTGGCAAACTAATTTCCTTAACATTATCTTAAAAAGCCCAAAATAGATCTAGGTAACAACGGAACGTCCGAATAAAATAAGAAGAGTCCAAAGTAGACTACAGGTTAATCTATACGAAATACACGATGGATCAAAGTCTTACAAGATCAAACTGAAAACATAAAAACTAAATTAAATGGAAAATCATGGTGAGATTCAGAGATAAAAATGTGTCATTGAAACTGTGTGACGAAACTTGAAGTGGACACATACAAAAAAAAAATGGAACAAGCTGCTTGCATGTCTCCAGATTTTACTAGCCTAACCTACTATAAAAACACCTGGGTGATCGATTTTTCTCCGCTTCGAAATTAAGAAGTTATTATGTTCCAATTAAAGTAATGTTTAAATAATGTTACTAAAACTAATAGGCCTACTCATGTGCGAGTTTTTTTTTTTTTTTTTTTTTTTTTTTTCTTTTTTTGGGAGGATGGACACGAAATGCGTTAATGACTAGACGGTTCCGTTTCCATTTTTACCACTCAGATACAGCTCTGTGAAAATTTAAACTTAGTCATCATCATTGAACTAATAAACATGTCGGAAAACGATTCAATCACATTTGACATTAATGTGACAATTCCCACAGCATATGAATGGCAATTTCCACAGGACTGCTTAAACTTGAATGTTAATCATTTGATCACGAACGCTCAGTCTCGATGTCGAGACTATCTTCACATCTATATATTTTTTAACGAAATATTTATTTCCTCATCCACATTCAACTAAACAAGTTGTTGTAGTGGTGTTCATTCATTATTTTCCAGATGAACATACGTAAATAATAACAAAATATACCCTGCACTATTCTGGCTGATTTCGGAAGGTTAATTTGGCCAGACATGATGACAGACATAGGCTACATATTAACCTTTCCTTGTATACAGATCTTTATGTATTATCAAAGTTACCGTTACGATAATTAAGTCAGCCAAAATAGACTGTAGTTATCAGGATTGTTCACAAAAATGGATGTCTTCTTTGGTAGTGACCATTGTTTAAATGCGTTTCACAACTGGTTTTTCTTGTTAGATTTTCTGTTTATACTATAGACTGGAATGAGATGTACCATATGAAATGATCCGAGGCACCAATAAGAGGCAATCTCTTAGCCGTGTAGGCGCCTGTGTCATATCTTTTAGCTTTAATGTTTTAATATTTTAATATTCTGTGTTTAACCAAGTTATGTCTTTTTAGTGTTTAAAAAAGCAACTAGCAAAACAAATTTCATTTTTTCACTGTATTTGATCGATGACAATAAAGTATTCTTGATTTTTGTAACAGGCCTATATTGGTTCTTCACAACCCATTATTCCCCCTTGCGTTGATTTAACCTTTTTGTCTCTTTCTCGCCCTTGGGCTGGGAAGAGATGTTATAAATCACGTCAGTTGTTTTACGGTCTTGTCGGTAACTTTGCCAACAACCAAATCGAACATGTATCAAAACAACTATTACAACTCATAAATCAGAAACCAACTTGACCTTTTTAAAATTGTAACGCACATGCAGTGTCCTCCTCAGAGTCTCATCTGCATCATTCCCAATGTTTATTATCCGAAACGAGACAGACAAGTTCACTACAGACCAAATTCCAGTACTGCAAGTAGGGCATTTTGGAACACAAAACGCCATGTATTAAAGAAGATTAACTATCATTTTTAAACCGATTTAACAGGATTAATTTACCATAGGTATGCATCTATTTGCTCCATATTTGGAATGCGAGACGTAGAAAAGGAGAAAGATGATGTATTTTCAAATCACTAGTTTATATCCACACAGGCATATGTTTATTCAATTAATATAACACCAATTTTCTCATATCTCATATCAAGTTTGATGTCAGTTTCAGTACCAGATAATTTCCTACAGTGGCGTAGAAAAATATTTTGAAAAATATTTTTCAGGGGGGGGGGGGATGATTGGCGTGTTAGCGAGTGTCGTAACAGGCGCGGGGGCAGGGGGGACACTTCCCCTTCCCTTTCCCTGACTGTTTTTACCAGGCTGACCAAGCCGTCGTACCGGGCTGGGTAATAAGAGAAAAGAAAGAGGGGAGAGGGAGGGAAAGAGAAAGAAGAGGAAAAGAAAAGGAAAGAAAAAGAGAAGAGAAAAATAAAGACAAGAATAAAAAGGAAGATATCATAATGACCAGACTCACAACACCCTGCAACCCCTTCTCCACAAAAACTGTCATAACTCCTTTGATCTATGCTGCCCAATGGCGTAACCACTGGGGGACAAGGGGAAAATATCTATCTTGGAAAAATCTTCCCCAACCCTTTATAAATGCCCTTTGCATCTCCTGAAAGTGCCTAAAAACCGTGCACATTTCTTGTTAACATGGGCCAATTTCCTCTAAAAATTGCACATTTTAGGGAGTTTTGACCAATTCCATCGAAATTAGAATTAAAAACACCGGGGGACAATTGGGGAAAATATCCATCTTTGGAAAGTCTTTCCGCACCCCTTAACAAATGCATCCTCTGAAAGTGCCTATAATTCTCAAATTGTTTGCGCACGTTTCTTGTTACGGTAGGCCAATTTCCTCGGCCCTATAAATTGCACATTTTAGGGAGTTTTCATCAATTCCGACGAAATTAGAATTAAAAACAGAAAAATATTTTGCACGCTTCGTGCGCATTTTTTAGGGCTTTTTTAGGTTTATCCTTTTAAGTTATTTAAACACATAATAGTCCCAAACTCAAGAAAGACAAATTTAAGATAGATCGTTTTAACCTAAAAGAAGGGCCTCAATGTGTATTGATGGTGAAAGAATATGTTTGTAATAAATAAAACCATGATGAAAATGCTTAGGCCTATATTTGGTTTCAAACACACGTGTGTGGCCTATATTATAAATAAGATAAGCCCTATGGCGTATTGTTTTCTATATGGGGAGTGGGGTGGGGTGGGTATAGTAAATTACTAACCGGGAAAATAAATACCCACTCTGACTCAAGACCCCTGTTACGCGCCTGGTGTCTCGCCAATGTGTGCCCTTGTGCGGACAGGGGATGTGCCCCCCTCTGAAGCTGGAAACCTTGTTTTTGCAAAATAAATTGATGCAATTTGCTATTATAGGCCTAATCAATAAATTCCTCATCAACTGATATAACCTTAAACATTCTTGGAATTGACATAACATTCAGTGTGAAATGTGGCTCTCTTTGCAAGCACATCTAACATCTAAGGAAAGAAGAGCTTAGATTAGTACCAGACAAAATAATTTTATTAACAACATTAATACATTATGCTAATTTTCAACTTTGTAAGCGCATAAGACAGTGCAAATTATTTCTGTGAAAGTCCTTTGAAATGTGTAAAGCTCAATTTTATGCCATACATAGTCAAAATATTGGGGGGGGGGATGATACAATGAACCATCCCCCCCCCCTTGTCAAATATTTGGGGGATATATCCCCTATCCCCCGGGGATCTACGCCTATGATTTCCTAGAAACTCAAGCAGCACAGGACTACATTAAACGCAATGCAAACATGTCTTAATATGATAAAACTAACACTTTTTTGTAAACCAAACTGTATTTTATGGGGGCACTTATTAATAAATATTCGACTTTTAAAAAGTTGTTGGTGGGACCTTAGTCACTGTATCAAAAGGGTGCTGTGGGGACCCTATTAAAATCAACTTCAAAGAATGTCATACAAGACACAGTGATTCTATATTTCACAATTTATTTGTTCATCTTCATTGTTCAATAAAGATATTAAACACTTATTATACAGGTACTGAAGGCAACCCATTTTATATGCTTGAGTGACCATGACAATCTATGGTTTATTGCCATTATTATCATTAATAATTTAGTTTTCCTTTATAAACAAAACATATCTACGATATAGATAGACGTCAGCGAATACTGAAACTAATGTAAAATGTTATCACTTTTAAAACAATAAATCATGCTAACTCTTCAGACATTGAAATCTATTTTCATATTATTATGCTGCAATCACATGTAAATTAAAGAAATTGTATGCTAATATAATAACGTTATATAATAATATATATTAATCATGTATTAATTCATAACAATTAATCACATAGTTATATTGATTGAACAGCGATTGGTGGAATTACATGACCACACAATCCCATACCCTTGGTATAAATGAGTAAGTGTGCCTGCAAACTACAGTATTCGATTGATACTGGTACGTATTGACACAGCTGAGTCAAAGACATTTTAATATGCTTTTATAACAACTTCCACTTCTAACGATTGCCTACGATTTCATGTTCATGTTCAATATTGTCAACAGAAATTGGATGAGATGTAATCTTCCTCCAAAGTTCAGAACACTCAGAGTCTACAACTTTGGTTGTATCTGGCAGATTCATAAAGTATACCAATTATTAATATTAATTATTAATTAATAAGTCTGTATAAAAGCTTGCATTGTTGCTACCAAAGTTCTTTGATATTAATATTTTCTCTGAGATGTCGTCTAATGCAGTGATTAAATCTGGAATCATATCCAGATGGATTGAAAGGAGTACCTGTAAAGGAAAACAATGATAATGTTTTAGTTTCACTTCAGTTAATTTCAAGATTCTTTATCTGTAATTGCATAATGGATGACAATGGTAATCTTGCCATTAGCTGTCCATTAATTCCAACTGAAAAAAAGGGTATGAATTTTAATATAAAAATCACCAGAATCTTTATATGCTTTATAGACTTTTAAAAATCAGGTTTTCTTACAAATCTATTTATAAGTTATACCCTTTTATTTGTGTCAAAATCAGATCTATGCACAACACACAATTTTCTATTTTCACTTTACACCTCTGTAATTTTACTTCCCAATTACAGTGCGATCATATAATTATTGAAAATATAATCATTTTTGCACGAAAAAATTTGTTAGTAATTGATGTGTAATTGGAAATGCCTCAAGTCATGTTTTGCATCACAATTTGATGGGAAAGAGGGGAAGATAAATTAAATTACTTACAGTATAATCCCAGGCTTAATAACTTTCTGGTCAAAAGGAATCTAAATAATGTATAAAACACAGAAGAGAATATAAGATCTTCAAAGAATTTCATTTGGTATCAGTATATTAAATGTTCTTGATTTCTTTTTTGTATAAACCATTTCAATAAAAACGGAGTACTTACTCGCACATTTTGAATTGTATCACAATTCTTTTTCAACTGACTGGAATATGTGTTACGCATCAGTGGTCATGACATAATCAGTTGATGTGTAACACTTATTCCAGTCAGTTGAATAAGAATAGTGATACAATTCGAAACGTCTAAATAAGTACTCCGTGTTTTATTCCAATGGTTTTTACAAAAAAGAAATCAATAACTTGAGAATATAAGAATTGAAGTAAAATTACAATAAAATTCATCTAAAAATGCTTCAAATAATAAAAGTAAAGAAAAGCCACTCAGCACAATAATTTGTATTCAAATTTCTATTTCTGTTGCAGTCTGTAGTATGTTGTAACTAACAAAAACACACAATTAAAATAAATTTAACCAATGAACATTATCTGTTGTGATTTCTTAAGCCTAATTAAATCTTCATACTTTTAATAGAGTTGTCTATTATTTACTGAGCAAATTAAGCTAGTAAAAAAACCAAATATCTCAAAATGTTTCCAATATCACTTTCTAGAACACAGATCATAAAACAATGAATGAATCAAAAGCTAGTAAACTGATAACATTTTTATTTTGGTGGAGACAGATATTGACCAAATATACTGTATCCTAAAAGTTTGCAAGCTTATGTGATGGTGACAATAAGGTTTCACAGGAATAAATATTCTCAACAAAATATACAAAATTATCAATATTAATATAATATTTCATCATCTGTACACCTAGTAATATCAGCAGCAATGTTTTGTGTTTCTCTCATTGTCACTTTGATGGTAAAAAAAAAATTGTGGCAAATGAAACAAAGAGGAACTGTAGTACTCATAGATAATATCTTTCAGTGAAAGTGCAGAGTAATATTACTCTGTATTTTGCAAAGCATTTGCTGCTAGTCGCAACTATCAAGGGACAATTACTTAAGGTTGAAAAGAAACAGTATGTTATAGAAATATTAAAATAAGGTCATTGACACGTAAAAGACGGCAAAGCTAGAGTTGGGAAACTGTGTTGAAATTATCCTACAGGTGACCAGCAAAACAAATTACCGACATAGCAAGTATAGGAAACGAGAAACGAGAAGTGAGAATGCGACCAATGTTACTGGCCATCCAAGATGAAGACTGCAGGTTACGTAGCATGCTGTTTTGTTTATTGAATTCTAGATACCCACTCAGGTAATGAAGTCACAAAGTTCTACCATGTAGGTTGTAGGGGTCACAAAATAACACAGATCATCCAGACAGGTGTAAACAAAACACCTGCAGCATAGCACCTGAAGATGGACATACTGCTATCAATAAAAATGTATCATCAACACCCACATACCATCACTATCTCAAATTTAGGAATCATCTTTTCTTAATTCATTCGAATCAACAAAGACATAAAAAGCTATGGTACTGTTTTATCTTCACAAACCTCTATTTTGTTTAACTTTTCATTTGCATCAAAACAGTTATGGGCTTATGGAGCATCTGATTGATTGATTGATTTATTTGCTGATAAAATTAAGTGATAGATTATTGATTCACTGACTGACAGTGATTAATATGATTGATTGACTATTGACTGATGGATTTACACATTGATTGATGTATTTGAATAATTGATTGATGAACAAAATAGACCTTACCGGAGTGTCAATCAAACTCAACAACTGACCAATCAGAACAGGCCCTGGCATACACGCATGTGCTACACACACACGTGGGTCCCCCACACACTGTCATTTTGTGGGACCTTAGCAACGATTACCAAGCAATGGGGCTTAGCGGAAAGGTCCATTGTTAATCCTCTATGAAGTCCCATTATTTGTTTTATGGAGAAAAATGTTCTTCAGGAATTGAAACAATAGTGTGAAAAAAAACAACCACCACAAAACATCCTGCATTCTTCAACTACATCAAGTGGCAATTCAATTCAATTCAGTGCTACAAGTGCCATCAAGGGCCAATATCCGCTAAAATTACATTGCACAAAAGTACACTATCAGGAGTGCCAAAAGTGTTGACCCTCCCTGGTCAGCAGCAAAAATATAAAAAAAATGAGTACTCTATATAATTTATAATTATGCATATATATTTAGGGCACATCCCTCCCAATTCTTTCTCCACAACCAATAGGTCCCTGTTTATGCTTCATGCACCTGGGCCCACAACTAACAACATAAAATTAAATTAAAATATTCTCCAAATATATGTTTATTTTATTTTTTTAATGTTCAGTCACCACAAACAAGGCCAAGGACCACTCAATGTAAGGGGTTAAGATAGTTAAAAGTAAATGGTTGATACAATTTGCAAGACGAAAACAATGTATGGTATTCAAAAGAGAAGCTGAAGTTCTGCATTTAGGAAGTTCAAGAGTGAACAGGAATTTAAGTAGACTCTGGTCGAAACCTAGCTCATGAAATCATCAAACCTACCTATGGTGAACCCATATCTAACCTTTAATATTTCAATTATGTTATCACGAAGTGAGACACACAGCTCATTTAATAATGCAATTTAAATATAATAGGTGGTATGACCAATGGGGATTAACGCCGTCTATGATTTGAATAGTCAATGAGTGCAATGCTTTCCAGCACTGATATTCTGTAAATTACACAGTACATTTGTCTTGGGACCTCTGCCATGTTCAATTCCAAACCTAAACCATGTGTGTGCCGGTAAAAACGGTTTATCGGTAAGTTTATCAGAGGAAGCAGTCTTGAAATTCCGACATGATGGCATCCTCATATTCCTTCAATGAACCCACTTCAAAAGGTAAATATTGCAGGTTATTGTAAAATGTCAAACTAGTAAGTGAATGTGGGAGATGAGATGGATGCTAACTGCTGTACAGTAATAAAATAAACATTTTTGTTAGCCTAAGTTTTTTCAAACTGTTCAAAATTGCTTTGTACTATTTATTATTTTCAAGAATTATATTTATTGAAAAAAATTTAATGCAAAAAAATTACCGTTAAAGTGGGCGTCCAAAGAAAAAGTTACTTATTTTTTCGGGGGAGGCGGAGTAATTGGTGAAAAAATCCCCAAAGAGCTGAAGTATTCTAGCACCTAAATTGACAAAATTCATCTTTACTTTGGTTTTTGGAGGGGGAAGGGTGACTTTACTACTACTCGCTGGAACCATAGATTACCCAACCCCCTGCTTAAGAGCTGTATCAACTGTGTGTGATAAAAATAACACAAAACGTGTTTGTGTCATTTTGTGGTAGAGGCAACAACTACTTGCAGGATGTTCTAAAAGTTGAACTCAATGCTGTAGCTTAACTCATCCTTATCAAAAGTGCAAAACAAATTAACATGATAGACAGACAGAGTTGACATGTCTTATCTTTAATAATATGATTACAACTTGATAATCACTCAGTCCTTGCTTATAATAATATAGCCAGTCAAAAAACAGCAATCCAAGTCTACAGCCATTCAGAGAAAAAGAAAAATTTTACTTCTTACTTCCTATATAAAAATATTTTGATAACACTTTGATTGACAATGTTTGCTTTACATAGTGACATTTATAGCCATTTTTGATGAGATCTCATACTAAGATGATTATAGAATGGTACAGTATACTTGTTTGCTTAAGAGATCTACAAAATCACATTTTATCAGAGAAAACCACAATGCAATAAAACTATAATCTGTATTAAATGCATCATGTAAAACAGCTATATCCATCTCCACAAGAGTTGGCGCTATATTTACCGCCAAAAGAACTGGCACTACATCCACCCCCAAAAGAGCTGGCACTTATATATCCACCCCGACAAGAGCTGGCGCTATATCCAGCCCTACAACAGCTGGCACCTTTTTCAACCTTCTACATGAGTTGGTATGGTAAGCACAAGCTAGAACAAACACCAATTCTGTTGAGGCTTTGTGTTCAGGAGCAATAATCCTTAGTTTTAATCTAACTTTGAGGATAAATAAAACCAGGAAGCCGTTCTAATTTGGAAATAGTCAGAAATTTTAACACTGCAGTGTCACGTAGGATATCAGCGCTTCCCTGAATGGTGAATGTCTTTCAAATTCTATTACTAAAACATTTACAGAACCACAGATAAAGATGAAACCATCAAACCTTGGCCCAATTTATCTTAATCAGTACACTACTTAACCTATCTATAAAGTAGTTTGTCAGCCTAAAATGTAAGTAATCTTTATAAATATTGAATTAATGACTATGAGGAATTATGTCTTCTTTAGACAGGTAGGAAAATCACCCATAACTCACAGCATCATTGTGCTGAATAGTTTAGCACCCGATCTGAGTAAATTGTCTAACCCATGTACACAAGCAAGAACAGCACTGGCCAACTGCAACTAAGTAAAATCATCTTCTCATTGGTTTTCATATCATTATCAATTTTTAGCTTTCTCTATTCATTAATGACGACAGTATGTACAAAGGTCAGTACGTTGTATCTACAGGCCTTGTGAGGTCCCCTGGGTTTGGGCAGTCTCTGTTCACCCCTCTTGATGACCCTGCCTAATTAATAAATACCTTATGCTGGAAAGGTTAATTCTGATAGAAAACTTTACCACCAATAAGATTTACCTTATTATTCTGGCTATCAAACCACAAGACCATAGAACGACAGAAGGAATCAATGAAAGAAGTTTGGGTTCAAACGTACTTTGAATTACTAACATTCACAAAAAATAACAAATACCATAAGTATTCATAGTATTAATTTGTTCATAAAAAAAAAAGCCAATAAAAAAAGTGATTTACAACATGTGTCCATAGACAATTTCCTACACTTATTAAAATGGTGACCAAATTCTGAGAATTAGTTTCATTATGGATTAAATACAACTAACTTGCATACTACAACAATAGTCTAGTTGTAACAAATAAAAGAATTAGGAA